CACATAATTTTATAGATTGTACATGATAATTATAGTTATATTCTTTATATTATAAACATCTTTTTCAGGGTGTACATAATTATTTGAGATTACAGAGGTTGACTATTTTATATATGCCTTTTACGTACGTACATAATTTAATATTAGATAGTTTGGGTCGTGCATAAACACATTTTTAAGTTTAGGTAACAGATAAATTTGTTTAAGTTTAGAGCTCTTTTTGGAGCTTACGTGATAATCGGAGAGTGCGCTAACACTCTCTATGTAGGGATGGCACGAACACCCGTATTAAAGCAATACAAATTTTATCTATATTTTCTTCTCTACAGGTTATCAGAAACTAGATATGAAGAACTACCTGGCATAGTCGCTCTATCTCCAGTGTATATGCCGCTTTTCAGCTATTCAGAGCGTCCCAAAGTCGAAAACCAGCGAATAGCCAAAACCGAGATATTTTATTTTTGTTCATCATCATCTTTTTTTTCAACAGGCCTAGAACCTACCTAGTTTTAGCAGTAACTATAATTTTATCATCATGTGATCGAGAAAAACAGTATTCACGATCTTTGACTACCTATTTTATTATTATTATCTGCAAAGTTTAAAAGAAAAGAAAGACAATCACAATTTTAGTGTAAACTATGTTATTACGCCTTGAAGTTAGCTTTTGTACAGCAATCTGGTGTTCCTTTAAACAGCTTACGTATAGGGTGAAACAGGAATTACCAGCCAATAATAGATGAAGTTTAGATGACTGTAACATGTAGAATACTCAATGCTTTCTACACTATGCAATCGGTGTCTTCATTTATAGCAACACTAACAAAACAACACTAGCATTGCATATCTGATATTATATGTTAAAAACAGCCATATAAATATATTATATTTACAAGAAAAGAGTTAAGTTACATAAGATGCCAAGCTCTGTAAACATGTAATCTAGAAAAAAAAGGCTAAGGTATATAGGATGCCAAGTTCTGTAAATACTATCATTCTAGAAAAAGAGCAAAGTTACATATAATGTCAAGCTCTGTAAAGAGAGCCTATTTATATAAAGATGTATAAGTACGCAGAGACGTAATATTAAACAAAACAAAACTGGAGCAACCTGGACCTCATTTCGTTCATTGCAAGAGGAATTAGCAGCAACACGAATAAAAAAAAGGGGCCAAGTTGGTCCTAGGTGTGTCTTTACATGTTTATATATATATATATATATACTTATATTACTTGGCTTGTTTTGTTGATCACTTGTTTACACAATTTAGCGTTTTAGGTAAGTTGGTTCTTTTTTATTTATTCCACTTATTTATATAACTGATCCTTCAATCTAGCATGACTGTTTTTTGCATGGAATATATAACTGATCCTTCAATCTAGCATGACTGTTTTTTGCATGGAATATATAACTGTTCCTTCAATCTAGCTTGACTGTATTTTACATGGAATATATATAACTGATCCTTCAATCTAGCTTGACTGTTTTTGATTGGAACATATAACTAATACTTCAATCTAGTTTGACTCTTTTTGCTTGGAACATATAACCGATCCTTCACTCTAGTTTGACTCTTTTTGCTTGGAACATATAACTGATCCTTCAATCTACCTTGACTGTTTTTGCTTGGAACATATAACTGATCCTTCAATCTAGCTTGACTGTTTTTGCATGGAATATATAACCGATCCTTCAATCTAGCTTGACTGTTTTTGCATGGAATATATAACCGATCCTTCAATCTAGCTTGACTGTTTTTGCATGGAAAGTACTTTGTTAGAAATCACTTCTCTTTGTTCTAAGTTACAATTTACTGCAAGGCAAATCTCGATTTTATTCATAATTTATCGATTATTATATTACATAAAACTTGATATTAACAAATTACGGGCTTATTTCATCAGATGATACGAAGTATTAAAAAAAAATTAATTAATTTTTTCTACGTAATTATTAAAGTTACAATGAATTTTAATGGATATATTTTAATTCAACCAAAGAATTAAGAAAACAAAAGGCATTGTTAATTAAATACTGTTACTACTTTTAATGACTTTAGAGGGTGTTGAAACAAAAACGATTTAGCACTATCTCAAAAACTTCAATACATCACAGAATGTTAAAATCAGTTGCATTCCTTAATTCAGATTAATCTGTACAAATTTATATGACCTTATAATATGCATTCTTTTGCTTATTATATGTTTTGTCTTCTCAACAAAGACGAAAGAGAAGAACAATAATTTTTTGAACGATTTTAAGGTGTTTAAATATTTTCGGAAACATACAAATAGTGGCCCTGTTTATAACAGATTTAGTCATTCCTCAGCGTCGTCCAAAACTTTGGTCATTTATATATAGACATAGTTATGGATTTTTTGAGCCAATACCATGACTGGAGATACAGAAGCCAAACAGTATATATATATATAAATACAAATAATCAAAACTTAATAATAACAAATAATTATTGATAAGACTATCTGAATGTTAGACATAAAATGTAATCTTCAGTGATTCGGAATGATTAAAAAAAACATTATTTAAGTTTACGAATAACTAAAGTGTGTAAAAAATAAATAGCATAGAGCTAAATAAAAACACGTTTATATTAAAGATAAAGGTATCTC